GCGTTTGCCTTAGCGGCGTAATAAACATAGCATAACATAACATAGCATAACCCAGTTTGCCCCATTTCAGCACTCTGAACGACAATGGTGCAGTAGCCCCAAGCAGCATCGCCTGCCATTCTTTCAATCGGTGAGTAATGTCAAGATCGAACATCGCCCAAGTCAGCCCAGTCTTTTACCTCTACCACCATGTGTACTAATAGGTGCTAGGCTCGTTTGAAGACAAGAACACTGACTTGGACCTCAACTTTTCCCTATAGGTCCCTCTGTACTAGTTCTAATCACATTAACAGATTCGAGATAGGAGCTTATCCAGGTGCGTTCTACGGAGGAATTGGAACTACCTCCTTTTGCGTAACTCGATTCGGTGTCAGTTGTGCAAGCGCATCGCTACGTATTACTACCGTCTCGTATCTTCAGTATTACCCACCTGAGTTCGGTTTCGTCTCTTCGCTCCTTGTCGAAGTCATTCTTGACGCCGATGGTGAACGGACCTGCCTCTCCTCGAGCCGCCTCACTGATAGACATGGCTGCATCTCGTTTTGACTAAATAGGCAAATTCAAAATTCAACAAAATAGTACAGCTGGTTTAACACGTTGGAGACCGCGCATGTTTTATGATTTGCGGCCGCGTGGGCATTTAGTGGAACTTTTAGGAATCTTTTCAGGCAAATTGGAAAGAAAAACCTACTGTAACCTTATCGACTGAAATGGAAAGAAAAACAAGAGAGAAACCCAAGATTTGTTCTCAAAATATGGGGTGTGAGATCTGGATGGTCGACGGACTGCAGCCCATATATGGGCTGCATGGGCTCTAAGGTGTATTAAACGTCGACGTTATCCCACAGTGAATGGATGGACTTTGAATGATCCGCTTCAAACGCCTTTAAAGTGTGATTAGAAGTAGGACGCGTGCGTAGTAGAAGCGTATCGATGGGAACTTTTTTTTTGGACTTGTGTAGATTTCATGAAAAAGGGCTTCACGGAAGGCGCGTTTGTGCAATCTGGTAACGTCATTCTGCGCTACTTCACTATTCAGATAACGCCCGAAGACCGAAGTTTCGATCTTCGGACGTTATCACTAACGAAGGTGCAAAGCCCAGAAAAATTATCACAGACGCATTGTACGTA